ATTTGCTTTCGCCCTTAGGACCGCAAAACATGATACAACGGGCAAAACTCCTGCTGAGTTATTTCTAGGCAGAAAGATTATAACACCGTTAGATAAATTATTTTATGTGCAACAAAGAGCCCCAGAATTTAAAATGGGTGATATAGAAAAACTAATTAAAAGAAGCAAAAAAATACGGAAGTAGCACAAAGAAATCAGAAGCTCTATTATGATATGAAACGACGGGGAGTAACTTATAAAGTAGGGGATGAAGTTTTAAAAATTAAGCATTCACTTTCTTCAGCACCAGAAGATAAAACTGCCAAATTTTTTCCACGATTTGAAGGACCATATGTTATAGAAAAAAATAACTCACGCTGTAGTAGTGTTAAAAGCCAGAAATGGTGAAACCTGTTCCGCAAACATTGATCAAATCAAGCCCTACTTCGATCGTAATAAAATGCAAATATTTTCAGATCTTTTGCAGGATCCGGCTCGGCAGACACCGCAGGCACAAGCTCCAGAGGTGGAAAAACGACAAGTACAAGGGCAAGCCAATAAGAGGCAGGAGCAAGGGAAAAGAAAATTGCCCCGCGGAAAAATTGAAGGTAGCAAGAAAAAGAAGCCGTCCAGAAAAGAGAGTTCACGAACACCCCCAGAATGAAGAAGGGAGAAGGACGACGTATGTGAAGAGAACCAGGAGAAATGACGGCAACTATAACCCGGCTCTAAAACGGAAGATCGACTCATCCGACAGGACTCTCCGCAGTAAATGTCGCCGAACTGCGGAAGGGCCATCAGCGGCGGAGGAAAAAAGTTACAAGGAAAATTTGAACGGCCAACAACGAGGTCCAAGCAGGAACACGACAGAAGTTTCTCCGGTTCCGCCAAGACCAGCTGCCATCAAACGGCCAAGACCACAAGCAGAGGAAAAAAGAAGGTATTCAAGGGTGGCCGAACGAACTGGTGAAAAAAGGAAGCTTCCAGAGGAAGGCACTGAAGGGCGAGCCCGTACAAGAAGGAGGATAAATCAAACAACTATCTGCAATACCTTTAAAGACTGGGCCCAGAAAAGGATGTCCGAATATCACAAAGATAAGTAAAATTTTATGTTACCTTGCAAACTTAAGTTAATCTTTCATTCTTACTGCAAGTGGCAGATTTCAAGAAGTTTTACCTCATGCGAGGTCTACCTTTATCGCCAAAAGGGCGAGAAATGAGTTGTTACCGATTTTGGTATTATGTTTTTAAATTACTCGCGCGTAAAACTAAAGTTGATGTATAATAGCGTTGTGTAAAGACTTAAATATTGAAAAAAAAAAGTTATTGTATAAATTTTATTTAAAACATTCTAGCAAGAGAGAAGTTTTAGTCTGAAAGACTTTTTGAAATGTATTATTTCAATGTAGAAAGAATTGGCACTTGCTTTGAAAAGAATAGAAGTTAACAATGTACTACTAATGTATGTTTTCAAATGTGTAAAATTAACGGCATGTTGATATGTTCTTATATACAATGTGAACTGTTATTTTAAATGTTAAGAAATACCGTGATATGGTAAAAGTGAATGTTAAAATTTTTTATTCGTGTGACTGTAAAAAGACTAAAGCATGGCGAATATGTGTTAAAGGTTGAATGATGTAGTTAGGCTCTCTGACGCTAGACTTTAGTGTGTGTGTGTGATTATGGCAAAGCCTCGAGGCTATTTGCCTAGAGAGGGATGCCTTCGTGGAGGACTTTCTAAGGGAAACTGGTTCGTATACACGTACACATGGGGAAAACCACGAAAACGCCCATGCAGCCAGCCCGTTCGCGGGATTCGAACCTCGGACCCGAACTACCAGTGTTCAGCGACTTTACCGCTCGCCGCTGGTGGGCCGCTAGAACTTTAGAGTTAGCCACTTTAGAATAGTACCTCAGGGTTTAGAGTTGAAATTAGAATGTGTTAAGAGGTCTTGTTATGTTGAATTTTTAACACGTTAATATTTTGATTTTAGGAGGAAGTGTGGGAACACATTCGTGTTTGGTGTTCTTTTACAACACATGTCAGAGAGCACGGGGAGAGAGAGATAATTAAAATAGTCATGAATGAAAATAAGAATGTTAAGAGAAGTATATTGTTATATGTTACTTGCCATTTCATTGTGTAACATTTCATTAAACTAGTTTTCCTTCCAGATCTCTGGAAGGAACCAGAATTGAATAAAAGCTCCTGTTTAGATGCAGTACAGATGAAAAAAAAAATTGTTGTATATCCTGGAGCTGCTATTGTAAAAAAAAAACAAATTTCTTTCTTTTAAATTTCTAGTTTGTAGCGAAGTATGTTTGTAAAAGATTGGCCTCGCGTTAGATTCTAGAGCTAAAAGTTTTCAACAAGGTCGTTTTAGACCTCAGTTTCAAACTAATTAACTCTGGCGGGAAGTATGTAAGGATCTTAAGTTTTACTAACGTTTATTTATTTAAATCTTTACTATCACTTCTTATTTTCTACTTCCGGCCAGAATTATAAGCGTTAAGGTTTTTATGCAAAGTTTGTCTGGCGAACGCCAAGTATTTAAGTTGTGGCCTTTTTGCCAAGCGAGAGAGAGAGAGGAAGCAGTGAGTTCGAAGCAGGCCGCTTACCTTAGAAGTTTACGCAGTTGCTTGTTGCCTTCCAGGCCAGAGGTTTTAATCCTCTTGATAACTTTTAAACGTATTGTAGTGTTCCAGTTATCTGTACTACATACGCCTTCCTGTTAATATAAGGCCAATCTTCCACGTTTATTATTCTAAAGTTAAATTAGAGTTTAGTTTTATTTTTTATACTTTTACGTTAGACCCCAAGTGGCGGGTCAGTGTATTCCGAAGTACGGAAGTTATTGTATATAGAGAAAAATAAAGGGTTTTGTATACCCTTCGTCTGTATCCTGTCTACTTACCACAGTTAGTGAACATAGCTTTAGTAAGCTCTCTGTTCCGAGTCAGGTCCTTGTATGTTCCCGAAGAAGGTAAGAAGGAACATTGACCCTGATAATACTACATCACAAAATCAAATCTGAAAAATTCACATGGAAACCTATGACCATAAAACTTTGAAAAAATTAATTAAATAAAAATAATAAGTTTATCACCTAGATTCTAAATTTAGTAACTCACAAAATCGAATCTAATTTTCTGATAAAATTTCTTTGCCAAAATATTGTTCTTTCAAAATTTTTAATTCTCGATATTTCAAATGGGATCTCCATGGTTTATTGTCACAACTTAGCATCAACGTGACTGTTTTATTTTTTGCTTGGTCTTACTTTAGAAGACGAGCCAATGAAAGTACGCTTAAAAGAGGATCGCTCCTTTTATTTGTTCTAGCTCCATTACTTTAAAAGTAATACCAAATATTTCTGCAAAAGAAAATAGTTGAGACTTAGAAATAAAATTAGGCCTTATTTAATGCTTTTTCACCTAGCGCACTTGCACTATTTCTTAGTGCAAACAATTATTCCATATCATGATACTGAGTAATGCCCGTTACTTAACAAATAGTCATATAAAATTTAATATGCCACAAAATAGTCACATAAAATTTGTTGATGGGTTATTTTTGAATGCTCGTTAAATTGATACCTTCTTAATATTTCGACACATAGACCAGTTTGTGAGAGAGGTCACTGAAAGTTATAAAGCGGAATATACTCCTATTCCTTGGTCAGATCATATTTAAGAAATATCTGATACTGTCATCTCAGTAAAAAAATGACAAGCGGAATTAAATTTTTGTGAGTAGGGCAGAAGCACCTTTAACTACCTGCAAACAGTTGATCTAAATCGTAAAATTTCGATTATTATCACGAAACACAACAGGACATGGTTCCTTCACAACGTTTTACTGTAAACATGTGAAGTCATGAAAAAATCCACGAATCCATCTTAAATCCATTTTGCTATCTGTTTTGGAAGAAAGAGTCCTTTATTTTGTCCGTACGTACAGACGTCACCCTCAAAAATAGTCCTAATGGATTCGGAAAAGGCCGAAATCGATATTTCCTTTAAAATATTATTACTATAAATCCAGTGTAGGCAGATAATGATAAAAACATTTAAAAAATACACAACACAAAAATATCGGAATAAAACACCCAACATACAATATCAACCGCATCACGATCGGCTATTCCAATTCAACCAGTACCATTTTGGACAGATGTCTGTGAATGTTGCAGAAAATGCCTGGAAATGAAGGACAAGTCTTCTATGCAAAATTATTTGAAACTTTTCGATCGTCCTTCCCTAATACTGATCTATTCATTTCTTGGATCTCCATAACATTTCTCAAGTACTTTTCTTTAATTTGCATATCCTATTATGTCTTCATTTTGTTCTCAATCCAAACTTTCTCTTCCTGAAGTCTCCTGGTCTTATAGTAAAAAATCGTTTCACTGAATTCTAATAACTGCGCCCAAAACGCAAAAGGACTGCTCTTTCAACTAACAGGAACTTTAACGTATATCTATTGTTTTAAAAAATATGAAATAGCAGTTAAGTTAGCTGAGGATTTTATAAGATGGGAAAATCAGAAGATATAGGGATTAAAAATTTCTGTTCGTTTTCTGATAAGCATAATTTACTGTTAAAATAACAACAGTTTAATGCTTGAAAATAAATAATGTTATACTCAAGAATAAACAGGTAATTTTTTTATATACAGAAACCGATTACCCGAAACAACTATAATTCCTCCACTCAGTTAGAATAATGGAAGCATGAATTTCAAAATATGAAAGCATTTTATCAAGCTATTTTGGCATTATCACCAAAGAAAGGATTGGCTCCAAACTTAAGCGACATTACAGGCAGCCGCCTAGGGCACCTGCTAAGTTGTTCTCCTAAGCAAAGCTCAATGAAAGTATATTTTATTAATCTTAAAATTAATAATATGACTCATTCAAATGAGGCACCAAATGTAATGAATGCCGACAGCGCCGAAAATGCTGGAGCCAAACCTGCTCAACGAGTTGTATTGCCTATTTAAATTTCGTTCGACTTACCTGAAATGTTGCCATTTGTATTTGTGGACGAGGTATCTTTGGCTGTAAGTGTCTTTTTGATGAGCGATGAAGAAGACACGACGGTCTCTTCTGTGAGGTTCCCTGAATCCTCTTTCTTGAGGGAAGGCACAGCGAGAACAGCGGAATCCTGACTGTCCTCGCTGTCTTCGAAGAGCCCTGAGCAATTCTCCTTGTTGCAGAACTGCACTTTGTGTTGAATGAAACGGACGATTTCCGCCAAGGGAAAGTTCTTTTGGCATAGGCCGCATGTCAGGATATCTTGAACTAGATCCGCTTCACCTGTAAAAAAATGTATGGTATTATTTTTATTTCTATTTCTACTTTCACAATAACTCTAATTGCAACAGATACTGAACAGATAACTGAACAGATAACTGAAGAAAATTAAATTCATCGAATTTCACATTCTAACGAATTACCGCAAAGCCTTGGAAATAATAATAATAATAATAATAATAAATAAATAAATAAATAAAAATAAAAAAATTCTGAAAATAGGCAAAAATTAATTAAAGTGCTCCAGGAGGCGGGGGGGGGAAGAAAATTCAACGCTAACATCATTATAATATATAACATCCAACGAAGGTTTATAAACAAACTATTAACCAAAGGTTCATGACCTATTTTGCTCCATGCAACCCTTTCACCAATGCTAGATAATCTCCCCTCTTCCTTTGAAAAACCTGAAAATACATGTGTACACTTACTTAGATTTAGATATTTTTTTAACGTGCTTTATAAATTAAACAAGAAAATGTATAGAAAATATTTGTAAATGAACGTAGTTTTTGTTTTTTATAAACTGAAACTAAATACTTAAAAGATAAATAAAAGGCTGACCGCACCAACCCCCCGGTAAAACTATGAACTTTTACCTTAGGAGGAATCCCCCCCCCACCAACAGAGAACCTCTGCCATAAACGCTTTAACAAGCCTATAGTAAACAAAATGACGGAAAGAGAGTTTCTACTAACTGAAAACCGTACAAGGACTTAAACAGGTAAATTTAGACAAATCTAATAAAAGGAAACAAGGATATCTTTGAACAGAGTTGGGTTGAAACTTAAATTCTGCATGATAAAAGAAAAAAAAAATTAAATGAAATAAATATGGATTAAAATTACAGGTAGATAGAAAATTCGCTTTTTAGTGTTTTGCTAATAAAAACACTCTTACCCGTAGAGAGTAGTTTTGGGTTATTTAAAAAAATGTTGACGTCTTGCGACATGTTAATAGAATGAATAGAATTTTCAATGAAATGAATTATTAATTTTTTGGTTACCAAAATAAAGTAATAGTCTACAAATCTTTAATCGAATAAATGACCTGGGAAACACAATTTTATGCTATGAAATGGTACCCTGACAAAATAGCCCACGATAAAACAGCCCATGACAAAATAATCTAAATTAAAAGCTCCTGAACTGGGTCCCATGAACAGTTTTTTATTTTATTTATTTATTTATTTATTTATTTTTTAGTATCTAAATATGTGCAGTAGCTATAAAAGAATACCACGGCGTATGTTTAAATAAGTAACTGCATCTTGTACGAAAATGCATAAAAATATACATGTTCAAATTTGATATTGTACACATATTTACATTGCTGGCTTATTAAAAACATTTTTCACAACCATTTGTACAGTATCGTAGTAATAATTTCGCCGCCAAAGGTTTGATATTCTTTAACCTATATTCTAAATTATAAGTGTTACATAATTTGCCAGTTTTGTTGAAAAATATACCGAAGTATCACAGCTTTTTACAGGTCTTGCATGCCTTGTTTTTATTTAAAAATTTATATATAGAAACATTTATATTTATTTTTAGATATTACAGCTGGACGTGAATTTTGTTCAATGACATGAAAAGTCGATATTCCCATAAAAAGGTTTTAGAACTGAAACAAGAAATTAAAAATTTATAGCTATATTTAGGCTATTTTGACCGGTCAGATACAAAAATGCTGATTATATTTGTTGGCCATAGTTGTTATTTTCAAGAATAAGATTAATAATCACAACAGATTTCGTTTATTATTAACCCTCAGAAAGGCATCAGCAATGGAAAACGGAGGATGACATAAAAAGAAAAACAGATGTTCTAACCACAATAAAAAAGGCTCGTGACAATCGCAATAATTAAGGACTTTTATTCTGCAGTTTCCTGATTCTTTGCCCCAAGAGAATGCATTTTCTTATGAAGCATTCTCATTTTTATTTATTTCATTCTCGGAAGGAACTTAGCTCGGCGTACTCCCTGACCCCTTTCAGATGTTCAATATTAAAGAACCTCGGCTTCAGAGCAAGTATTAACAAGGATAGCTGAAAGAAAAAAAACTGAAACCGCGATAAAAACTGGTCCTTGGCTTTGGTAGTTTCGTTAGTTAACCAAGAGATGCCCACTGAGGTGTGACCGCAGTGCTCCCCGCGGTTTGTTTTCGAAGTTTCGGCGGGAGGGCTGCATATATGTACCCTTAGGTGGTAGACTAACAAGAAGCGAAAGTTCGTTAATACCGACAGACATTTATCCGGTTATATATTTGTATTTCGTAATACAAAATATCACATTCGATCTCGTGCTCATTAAAAAATCAGCTTAGTTGTAAAAAAATGCTGTATATATTTACAGATGAGAATTTTTGTTCCAGTTTCCAATAGCCCCAATGGTTTTCTGAGTGTTTACTAATTTACAACTTCAAAGTTCTATAATACTGCATCCAGAAGTTGGCAAGTTTTAAAACAGCCTTCAAATATTTCCTTTAAATGACTAAACCATCCAAAATGTTTAAAACTTAGATATTGTGATTTAAATTGATGATTTATTTTTAATTTTTTAATCAATCTGCTTATAGAATTAAATTGATGATGAAGTAATTTCCTATACACAACATACCCACATTTGCGATGATACACTTTTGCGATGATGTAAGCAGAATCTGATAATCATACTTGAGTGGTGAGAGGAAATAATTGTTCTTTAACCCCATAAACATTACACACTTACATATATTTAAAAAAACTTACAGATAATTTCTATATAGATGCACGCTAACAGATATCTTCTTATTTTGTACTGTTTCCTAAAAATAAATAAATCGGATATATTTTTTTAAATTCTTTTAAAATTTATTAACACCATGGACAGGCGCTTAATTCGGCCTAAAGATTTTTGAACCTTTCATCGAAGGCCCACAAGCGGCCGAAAGTAAAAGTCACTGAACATTGGTAGTTCGGTCCTCGGTTCGACTCCTAGTGACCGGGCTGGCTGCATGGATGCTTTCGTAATTTTCCTCATAGCCAGTTTTCCTTAGAAAGTCCTCCATGGGCAGACCCCCCTTTCCGTGTGGAGCACGTAATTAATAAATAAATCAAAACATTTCATCCAAGAGGACATAGCCATAAAATTTCTTTGATTAAAAAATAGTAGTAATTGACCTCAAATTGTGATTTGGTTTGAATGACTACGGCAAAGACTACCTGCCTAAGGGGAGGGATGCCTTCGTGGAGGACTTTTTAGGGAAACTGGCTTGTATACACGTTACACATGGGAAATGGGGAAAATTACGAAAACGGCCATGCAGTCAGCCCGTTCGCGGGATTCGAGCCTCGGACCGAACTACCAGAGCTCAGCGATTTACTGCTCGGCCGCTGGTGTGCTTCCTGAAATTGTGGCTCCTCCCTCTGATCTTAAGCTGCAAAGACGAAAAATTTGATTCTCTAAAAGCAGTGATTCTCAGCCTTTTTTAGTCGCGGCACACATTTAACGATTTCAAAATTTGGCGGCACACAGAGAAAAAGATAAGTTTAAAAGTTGTTTACTTACCATTGTATAAAATAGTTTATGATAATAAATTTGAATGTAAAATATAATATGCACTACGAAAACAGCAGTACTTTTAGTAAGGGATTAATTACAAGTAAACAATAAGAATACTTTTAATGAGAAATTTGAGCTTGATGTTATTTATAATTTCATTTATATTCGGTCGTAAAAATGACAATGCTACTCTCATATCGTCTTCTAACGTACATTTAACAGTCTCGATCTTTTTTCGTTTTATGTTGGTTAATACTGAAAATCCGAATTCACACAAATAAGATGTAGAAGACTGTAATAATATTTTTAAAGCTTTTTCGGCCATCAAGGGATAATTACATCTAATGTTAATCCAAAATGAATTAATTGATTCTTCCGACTATTTTAAAATTAAATCTCGATTATTAGAAAGCGAAATTAGTTCTTCCTCTTCGTTCAAAGTTAATTCAAATACAGAAGTCTTCGGAACCAAAATCGGCTTGGATACCACAATTGATGCGCATATTAATGTCTTAAAAACCGAATTTCGCCAATTCTCATGTGTACCGTGTACTAGGATTAAACAAATTATAATTTTTACTATATACGACATTTCTAAAATTGTACATTTCTAAAATTTGGCTGCACATAAAAGTGCCGCGGCACAGTGGTTGAGAATCACAGCTCTAAAGTTACAAGCATGTCTCTACAAGTTCTACTATTATTACCTAAATAGTTGTATAACGCAATAAAGATGTTTCTTCAAAGTTGGTGTTGGTGTATTTAATTATGGCAAAGCACACTAGGGCTATCTGCCTAAGGGGAGGGATGCCTTTCGTGGAGGACTTTCTAAGGGAAACTGGCTCGTATATACGTTACACATGGGGAAAACCACGAAAACACCCATGCAGCCAGCCCGTTCGCGGGATTCGAACCTCGGACCGAACTACCAGTGTTCAGCGACTTTACCGCTCGGCCGCTGGTGGGCCATTGTTTCTTCAAAGAAATCCTTCTTTTTGAGGAGGAAAAGAGATTATTTTTAACTATATATGATATGAATCGTCATTGCCCGAAGAAATCATGTTAGCAGTGTGAGTGCCAGAACTGACATTTTACGTAGAAAAACTTAAAAAAATAAATGGAACATGTTATAAATCAATGTTACATATAAAGTAACTAGTGACGGCTACAGAAAGTAGATCAAAGCACGTTTCAAAGCTGATAATTCGAAAGACAGATACACTGATGACAGCGAATTTCCTTGTGCGGACTATTAAATTATACACATTTTTTATGCACTTTATTTAAATATATTTCTACGAAGTTTATTAGAGATATCTTTCCTTCAATTCAGTTCTCACTCCGCGGCAAAGCAAAAATACATAAAAACTCAAAATATTTTCATTCAAAATTGTAAAATACAAGGGAAAAAAAAAAAACCTCACCCACCGAATACCGTTAAAAATAAATTTTTACATT